GAGGGGAAGGGGCGAAATAGGTTGACTGGTTTTGACCCATTACTGCTGTCAACAGAAAGTAAAGTCCCACTTTTACATTAAACTTTCTTAATGCAATGTTTGCATACTGAATGTTTTCAAAGCATTAAGCTACTCACCTTAGTAAACCAGAATTGACTCTTGAAAACAGCCCTACTCAAGTTTTTTAACTGCTCTCAAACGAGAGTCAGGCATATAGTAGATCATTTACTGAATGAATAAAATTACTTCATGTGGAAAATGAAGATCCTAATAAGCCATTTTTAAAAGTGAAGATTCACTGACAACGTAATGGAAATTCTTTTTCATCTCAAATCTCTTATGAAACTGAAGACAAGATTTTGATGATAGTGGAAAAGTCCTAAGCAATCCTTTAAAATTTAAAATAACAAAAACAATCTTAAAATGTCTTTCAAGCTACACTAGTATTTTATAACAATTGAGGAATTTCAGGAAACTAATGTACTTTATCTAGTTTAATACAGGAACTAATATTTAAGCCACTGCACTCTTGCAAGGGACTTACCATTGGCCTAATGAACCTTTCATATTTAGGTGGTTTTCGAGTAAAGCCATCTCCAACAAAGCAGACCTTAGTAACCATCCTCTTCCATGCTTTTTTCTTTCTCTTTCCTGTTCGAATAACTTTTAATACCTCTGTTTCTCCCTGGGCACGAACTTTGGGCAGAGGGACTTCCCATTTTCCCTAAAAATAGACCACAGTTAAAATTTACATCGTTAGTAAAAGACAATGGGAATAAGAAGTCACGCACGTTTTAGTTGTACAAAGCCATACTTCACTTTTTTCCTTAACCAACAAGATCATGGCTCCAATGTTTTCTAGAGGTCTGCACTGTTTCCTCACAAACCCCCGAATAATTGAAACTAATTTACATATCATAGGTACATTATTAAATAAAATGGTTTGCTTAAGCTAAAAATCTTAAAGCTTTGTTATGGATGAAAAATACCACCTGTACTAAGGCAATGACTTCTTAGGCAGTATATGTGCTTATTACTAAAAGTGTAAAACTGGAAGACTGTCTTTTAACATATCTTTGTATTTCTACCTCAAATGGATTTTTAGAATGCATTACTAGACAAAATCATCACCAGATATTTTGTACTTCCCTAGAATGCACATTAAATTCTGTGAAAAAACTGAAGAAGTGCAAGACAGTAGGAAGAATTCTGGACTTATTACTAACGCAAAGGTCCGAGAGGTTACTCTATCAATTCATAGACACCTGACCATGCAGATGATTTACAATCTCCCAGACTCCAATCTCTTCATCTGTAAAATACGGAGGGGTTAGCTAGATAGTCTCTAAAGTTTCTTTCGGTGCTAAAGTTCTACCATTCTCATTTTGGATAATTACATAACAAAAAACCCACAGTAACATCTTAAAAATGAAATTTGGAGATTGTTAAAGTTCTTTAAATATAGTTACCACATAGCCTACTGCTTCCTGGATTTCTATTGATCTAACACCAGGTGTGTCAATAGTATCTATGCCTTTTTCTCCATTTTTAGCAGAATTTAACACTAATCACAATCCAGAAAAAATTTTTAAGAACTGCTGAATTTTTATTTGTGTTCAATCACTTGGGGATGTTTCTCACTATCCAACCTTTTTTTTATAAATATATTTTTATTGATTTCAGAGAGGAAGGGAGGAGAAACAGAAACATCAATGATGAGAGAGAATCACTAATCAGCTGCCTCCTGCACGCCCCTCACTGGGGATCGAGCCTGCAACCCAGGTATGTGCCCCTGACTGGAATCGAACCCGGGACCCTTCAGTCCACAGGCCAGTGCTCTATCCATTGAGCCAAACCAGCTAGGGCTCCACTATCTAAGTTTTAAATCAATTTTGACACACTGCACGGCAGCATAAACAAGCAACAGTTGTCTCCTTCTCCACAAAAGCACAGTATTAGGAGCTGTCAAGTTTAGGAAGCTGTTAAAATACTAAATTTGAGATTCACTGCTTACTCACTTGTTTTTAAGTAATTTTTTAAAAACTAAAGATTTGTTGTTTTCTAATAAATTTTCAAGAAAACTAATACTAAAATGTGCTTGCTGGCTGATGAGAAAGCAATTATATTACTTAAACATTTTACACAAAATGAAATTTACAAAGACTTCAACATTTAAGTGAGAATAGTTGGACTTCATGTTTCCAATTAAACTAAAAAAACAAATCAAGCCCCTCAAATTTGATTTTAATTCTCCTGAACAAAAAAAAGGAAAGACTTAATTTTTTATTGCTTACCGCTTTTTCTTTTCGTTTTTGTTTAATCATATTGGAAAGTACTTTAGCTCGG